CTTTCAGCTGAAATCTTATAGTTGGCTACATTAGTATGCATGTTATTACATCACAAAATTAAAACCTACTTAGGTTTATTTAATTTTGCATTTTGAAAGCAATAATACAAAGTCTTTGTAATACAACCTCTTAAAAGTTTAACTTTGGGAACATAAATTATTTAGGGTGAAGTTTTATATATAGTCCTTGTGATGGCTAATCTTCATTATATCAACTTGACTGGATTCGGGATTACCTAGGAGACACACTGACTGTCTGTGAGGGCATTTCCGGTGAGGTTTTACTGAGAAGGAAAGACCCACCATGAATGTGGGCAGGAGCATCCCATACTCCAGGTATAACTGCTCTCACAGCCACACCTTCCCTACTATGATGGACTATATCCTCAAGCTGTGAGCCAAAACAAACAAACTTTTCCTTAAGTTGCTTTTATTTATTTATTTATTTTTTTTGTCTTAGGACTCATCTGGGGTGATATTAAGGACTCGGCTTGGAGCAGAATTTTTGTTTGGTGCTTTCTGGAGGAGAGATGTGGAAGGTTGTCACAATGAGCTAAATGCTTCAAAGTGGATGGGATTTGGGTATTATTTTCTGTTTCCTTTTCTACTCCCAATAATGTGGAAGTGATGCAAAGTATAGGAAAGCTCCTGTGAGATAATTCTCTCCACTCACTTGGATGCCATGAAGGTTGTTACAGAGCCCCGAAAACCGAGTCCAAACATTTGCAAATGTAGTAAGGGTGCGTACGACTTTACTCCTTTGCTTTTTCTACTGGTGTGCGCCTCTTAATCCTGGCTGTGGGTCTGGTCATCTGTCTTCTTATGACAAAAAAGTTTAGTGCTTTGATGTGTACCTGGTGATGATTTTTGGATCAAAGTTTAAGGAGAAGTTTCTTTGGGGCTATGCTGGTGGGGGAGGTAGAGAGAGGAAAAGGCAGCATTCGTGTATTGGGTATATAAGCAGAACCCCAGCACACACTCAGGGTGCTGTGTTCCATTTGCTCATGCCTCATTTAGGTAACTCCCTCCGAGTTTGGATGGAATGGAGTCCTACAATGCATCCTGGTGCAAATTCTCTTCTAATACGCCTATCACTTTACTATCAAAATTAACACTGATTTCTAGAATCCTAAATACAAATATTTTAAAAAGATACCACATAACTTGAAAACCAGAGAGAACGATTCTTAGTTTATGTGGACAAGTCAAACTTCATATTGCAAATATTGTAAACTATTGCAAATTGTGGCAGTTATACTGATCCTTCTAACAGATTTGGGTTCTCCCCTGAATTATTATTTATTTAAATAACTAATATAATAGCTGGGTGTGGTGATACATGCCTTTAATGCCAGCCCTTGGGAGGCAAAGGTAGGTGGATCTCTGTGAGTTTGAGGCCAGCCTGGTCTACATAGCAAGTTCCAGGCCAGTCAAGGCTATACAGTGAGACCTAGTGTTTTGTTTGTCTAAGAAAAAAACAAAAAACAAAACAACAACAACAAAAAACCCCCAAATAGTCTGACTGAAGGAACTTTTCCCAGGAATGTTGCACAATGGTGGGTTGGAGCCCTCTTGCACAGGGACATGGACACTGTCCAAATCCAGGCGTATTGCTGAATGTGTTGGTTAGTAGAGGAAACAAAGCACTGAGTTATGTACTAGAAGGAAAATGATCCATGGAAAATGAGCATATAATTAGAAATATTGCTTATGGTGGGGTATTTTATTTGTGGTGATACAAAGACCTTTGAGAGCTGGTTGTGGTGGTGCTTGCCAGTGGGCAAATGCTAAAGAGACAGAGCAGAGTGATCTCAAGTTTGAGGCCAGCCTGGGCTGGGCTACATATTTTAAAAAGAAAATCTCTAAGAACCACTGTTCAAGAGCGAGATCAAGACAAATTAGGGAAGCTGTGGGATGGAAGAGTTCTAGTGTCTTAATGGACTAATGTTAACTGTACATATTTTTTTCTGCCATTTACACTATACCAGTGCTCCACACACTTTTCTGTAAAGGGCCAGAGAGACATGTTAGCTTTCACAGGCCATAAATGGTGTTTGTTGGGTCGTCTTTGTTTCCTTGTTTTTACAATCCTTTTAATATTCAAAAGCCAGTCTTAATTCACAATCCATATATAAGCAGGCTGCAGGTCAAATCTGTGCGCTCTGGATTAGAATTTAGAACCTACTACCTGCTCAGTAACTGAAATATTAAAGTAATAACCCTCCTGAGATGTGAATAGCCTTGTAATGTAAAACAAAAATTGAAAATAAATCAGCTAGGTATTCAACTTTGTACTCTAGGAGACCAAAATAAGCCAAAAGAACATAATAGATTTTTTTTTTTCTTTGTAAACTTTTTTTTTTTTTTTGGTGTTTTTTGAGACAAGGTCTCCCTGTAGCCACAGCTGGCCTGGATTTGCTATGGAGACCAGGCTGGCCTTGAACTCACAGGGATCTGCCTGCCTCTGCCTTCTGAGTGCTGAGAATAAAGGTGTATGCCACCACACCCAGCTTTTTTTTTGTAAACTTTTTAACAGAAACTAACGAATTACAAAACAGTTCTTTTCAAAGGTAGGTTGATTGAAGAAACAATAAAATAAGCAAACGGCAACTCTGATCAAGGGGCAAGAAGGAGAAAAATAGGCATGTGTGTGCACACAGACTGATACATCATGGTATATGAAGAGAGACAAGATTCTCCTGTACATATTTACAGCAGTTAAAGTTACAGAAAATGAAAATACCAAGAACCAGAGAAGGGATGGAAAAGATAGCCAATTATCTGCCACCGCGAAATAAAGAGGTATTAAGTATGTGATTACAACATTAAACAAACTGTCCTAGAATAGTTTCCCAATTTATTTTCAAGCTTAATAACCCACTCCTGAAAGCCAGTTTTATTTGTGAATTTAGCGACATGATAAATGTTGGCAAGTTGGATCCAGCTAAGTTTTAAATAAGTAATATGCTATTGAGCCAGGATAAAAAGACAGGAAAAAATTTTGGAACATGAGAAGGGATAGAAACCCCTCATTCCAGAATCAGAAACTTGAACACAAATGAAAAACTAAAATTGCCTATAGAGATAGTACTATTTTTCTAAAGACATCTCAAACAAGGGTGTTAAAGACAACAAGCTCTGCTTACGTATGCCCAGAAAGTTTGTAGCCTTGAGTTTGACTATATTAGCACTCCTCTCATCTCTAAACCCAAACAACGAACTTTCTGAAACTACCTTACAATTTCATGTATAAAAGGAAATTCTTAGGCCGGGCGTGGTGGTGCATGCCTTTAATCCCAGCACTCTGGGGGGGGCAGAGGCAGGCAGATCTCTGTGAGTTCAAGGCCAGCCTAGTCTACATAGTGAGTTCCAGGACAGCTGGGGCTACAGGGAGATCTGAAAAGACCAAAAAGGTCTCAAAAAGATAAAAAAAAATTTAACAAAAAGGAAATTCTTTGAGATAAAAGAAAGTAAACCACCTCATATTTTTGACTTATTTTAAATTTTTTTCTTAATTAAAAAATTGCTTAATTTTTAAACCTTGCTATGAATTATATCCCCAGAGCAATGTAACTTAGAAAGACAAAGAATTATATATGTATGTATAATAGAATCATATATAATAGAATTATATATGCATAACCATTGTAAAATCACCTAAGCATGCCTTTCTCTTTAGAAGCATAGAATCATGTCTTGGGATATGTGCTGCCCTTTTCTTAAGCATTTCTCTTAAACACCCACACTTAGATTTGAAGCACGTACTTTCTCTTATAAATACTTCATAAACTCTCTAACCTTGCTTCACTCTGACTTGGCCTGAAATTCTTTTCTGTAGCATAGTCAAAGATCCAGTTTTACCTGAGTGGAGGTCCCTAAAGGGGAAACTCCTCAGGCTACCAGTAGTAGTACTGAAATAGGTCTCCTCATCACCACTGACACTAGGACTGAAGATTTCCAAGGAATATAGCACAATTGGCATGCTGGAATGCCTTGCCTGAATTGCATGTGACACTTGTATATATACCTCTTCCCAATTGTACATTCTAAGACATCACATCTGTAGCTTGAAATCAGGAATGATAGTAGCATTTATATCATAGAAATTAGAAAATACTATAACTCAAGGCCTTGTTCCTTAGTTGTCACTTGCTAGCATATCATTGAATATAATTTAAAAATAGGAAAAATAAATTTGATTATGTCAAAAGTGCTGGGAAAGTATTTGATAAAATTCAGCTGTGATTAAAAACAAACTAGAAATAGCCAGAAACTTTTTTTTTGAGACAGGGTACCCTTGGTTGGCCTGGAACTTGTTCTGTAGATCAGGATGGCCTTGAAGTCACAGAGATCTACTGGCCTCTGTATCTTCTGTCAGCAGTTTGTCACTACAACTCTGTAATTTTTATCTTTAGCTCCTAAGTCATATCTGCCTATAACCTCAATATATAGAGAATATTATAGACCAAGTATGAAGGAATGGGGCTTTGGGCTGTGGTAATAGCAGTATAAATGAAAATGTAAGATATGGGAGGGGCATAGAAAGAATTAGAATAGATTTCTGGAGCAGCTAATCAGGGTTATAAAATGAGAAAAGTATAGGCAATGATGCTAAGGACTTATGCCTGTTGAACTGCCTTCAGCTCACCCATAGAGAATGAATTCCTAAAGTTTTACCCATTCTTTTATGTGAAAGGCAGATCTTATTAACTCCATTCATGGTTTTGGCCAATAAATTCAAGTGTTTCATGTACTGACTGCTGGGGATTTCAATCAGTTGCCCATGAGAAAATTCACATTCTTAAAATAATACACATCTGTATTTCTATCATCTATGAGATATTGAACCTCTGACTTTATGTTCATATTTTCATAATCATTCCTATTTCCCACTGAGAGAAAATTCAGCTTTGGAGTTTGTGGAAGCTCAGTGTGTTTTGTCATCTGTCAAAAGCCCTTTACAGTTTACATGCATTCTCTTGAAAGAACTAATTACATACCATTAAGGTTCCAGTAGAATTTCCTCGATAAGTCAGCCACTTCTTCCCATCAAGACTATACATGATGATAAATTGAGAAATGTACAGGCTAGAAAATTTCTGACGGGCCCCCTGGGTCTGGATGCCATGAATAATCATTGGTGTCAAAAGATCCACCTACCAATTAAAATAACAACTTATTTTAATATGTGCATATTAAAATTATAATTTATTGTTATTAGTTGTCTACTTAGGAAGATTCTTCATTGCTACAGATTACCTTGCATGTTCAGGAGAAGCAGGCAGTACTGTTGAGATGTGGACATGTGTGTGACACTGGGATATATGGTAGGAATTCGTAGGAAAGGTGCTTGTTGAATTCCCTACTTCCTGGCCAACCAGACCACTTCCAAATCATTGAGTTGTTTCACATACACCCATGGCACTACATATATGGACCAGCATGACTTAATGCTTTACCCACACTTCTGCATCAGTCAAAGTCAATCTCCTCTCCTTTCCCCAGACCAGACCTATCCCTATAGCATTATCAGGGATAAACTGCTATATCTCTTTCAAGTATTAGTTCAGAAAATATTTCTCCTGATTAACTTTCCCTGACTCAGACAAATTTAGTAATGTTTTCACTCCATGTTGTATATAATAACTTCATTCTAGAAGATTATTGTACTACTTTATGAAAGTTTCTTTGCTTGTTTTCATTTGTTATTCGACTGAGATCATTAAGACAGTGAACCTGTTTGAGTTTTCTAACTGCTTTGTGTTAACTGCTGAGCCATGTCTCCAATCCCAAGAATTGCACGTTTTGCAGATTTGGCTTGTACTGCTTCTTTATGTGGAGTATGAGAAGTTTTTTGTTTTTTGGGGGGGAGAACCACTTACTATTATGTCTTTTAGTGAATCTAATAAAGCCTTGCCATTCTACCTATATTCTGTGACCGAGGAATGCCTGGCGAAGTGCCAAGCTTATCTACATCTTCTTGGTGTGTCTTTTCTAACTTCTAATTGGCATCTTTTAATGGGTTAGTACGTAAAAAGTAAATAACTACATGTATTTATGGAGCCAAGTATTTCACTGTGACTATAATAGACAAATCTCTGCTAGAAGTAAGCAAGGTTAGTAATAAGTTTCACAGTATACAGTGTTAGCTTTGAGGCAACAACACAAATACGACAGTTGCCAATTGGACTGCTAATCACCTGCTGCTGATTGTTCAATCCTGGTTGCCTAGTGCCTTTCAAGCAAGTCCAATGCTTGCATGCCAATGGGCCAGGCTATTTTGCACCCTTTACTTCTTGTCAGCATAAAAGATGTTTCTCTGAACTCCCCTCCTTGTTAGCATCTTCCTCAACTCTTTGTGTTTCAGTGGAGCAGATAGCATAATCCCCTTTTGAGATTGTGATACTTAGAATGAGAAAGCCCCCCATAGGTTCCAAATATTTGACTGCTTGGTCCACATTTGGTGGTGCTGTTTGGGAGGGTCATGGAACCCTTAGGAGGTGTGGTAAGGCTGGAGGAAGCACATCACTGAGAGTGGGCTTTGCTTCCAGTCTGTCTCTCTGCTTCCTGTGCCTGCTTGAAGATGTAAGCACTTAGCTGTCTGCTCCTGCTGCCTCCTGTCATGCCTGCCCCACTGTGATGGACTCTGGAACCATAAACCCAATAAACTCTTCCTCTATAACTTGCCTTGATCATTGTGTTTTATCACAGCAATAGAAAAGTAACTTAAAAAAAGAAAAGAAACTAATACAAGGATACTGTATCTTAAGAGAGATTGAATGATAATTCAATTAAAAGGATATGTAACTGGTTCAATTACCACAAGCTAATAACAGATGATTATCAACCTAAAGGGATATATATATATATATATATATATATATATATGCCAGTTTTTGTTGGTGTGAGTTGGCATGCTATATAACATCTGTATGATTTGGTTTCTTCCTTTGAAATAATGCTCATAGTAGCATCTACCTTGTGATATTCATGGTAAGGATTTACTAGCTTCATTTGTGTTGAGCACATACTAAGGAAGTCCATGTCACTATTTGGATCATGACATCACTGAAGTAATAAAAGTTCGCTGATCTAATCAGCAAATGATGTGAAATTGAGAAGACTAGGAAATACTTTGGGACACAGAATCTTGGCAAGCTGAAACAATGGGCCAGATTTTATAAGTGGAACCTCAACAGAGTGTTATTTATAGTTTGTTGTTTCCTGTTGGGGATACAAAAAGGAACTTAGCTTTCCAAACTTACCTATCATGTAGCATGGAAAAGATCACCCTCCAAATCTCACTTATCTGCTTTTGAAGGGGTCACAAGCCTGATTGATCACAGGTTAGATGATATTATTTTTGAATATGTTTATTTAAATAAAATGTATTATTAAGATGAATCTCATGGGCTGGAGAGACAGCTTAGTGGGTAAGGTACTTGCTGTGCAAGCATGAGGATATGAGTTTGGATCCCCAGGACCCACATAAAACCTGGGCATGGCTGTGTATTCCTGTAACCCCAGCAATGGGAGGTGAAGACAGGTGGATACTCAGGGCTTGCTGGCCAGCTAGTCTAGCTAAACAATGAGCTCCAGGTTCAGTGAGCAACGTCATAAAAAATAAGGTGGAGAGTAATAGAGAAAGACACCTAACATGGACCCCTGGCCTCCACATATGCATATATAGGCACACACATGTACATATACACACATACACCACAAATGCACATACACTAAAAATAAAATTTTAAAGGTGAATTTCCTGTTTATTTTTAATGTGGTGCATTAAAGACATTGGGTTAGACTAAACACACTACTTCAAGTATCATGGCATCCTAGTTCACTACATTGGGCTACATGAAGTATGTGTTTCCTAACACCCATGGGGTATAGAATTTCTGAGAAAGACAGACTTAGTTCTACAAAAGAAGCTACAATTTATTTTCTTTGAAAATGGGAGATTGGGCAACTTCTTTTGTATAAAAATGAAAAGTACTGGAGGAGTCAGGGGCACCTACTCACTTGGAGACATTTAATAAACAGTTTTGAAAGGTGACTTCAGCTTTACAGAAAACATTCCAATGTTCTAATCCCAGTGGAAAGAAATGAGACACATTTGCATATTCGATTCTATTCTCAAGTTTTCCATCCATGAATAGTTTTTCACAAATTAAAAGCCATTCTAGTATATTGTTTCTCCACCTGGTAACTGATGCTATGGGAAAGACTGCAGAATAAAAGGGCATGTGTGATGCTTTGAATTTGTGTGATGAATTGGTGATGTGATCAAATGTGATACATTTCTCATCGCGGATGAAGTTTTCTGACCTTGATCCAGGAAAAGGGCTCATTGGTACTCCAGGCATTGATTGATCCAGAGTGATGAAGTCTGGCCAGGTTTGGAGCCCACTGTCCTTTGCCCAAGAAAGATGAAAGAGATTATGTATTCAGTTGATTTTTTTCTTAAACACTTGGGAACAACAGTACTATTTAGACAAAAGATTAACCCTACTTGTGGAGAAGACAACAGAAAAATATTTTTATAGAAAAACAGAAAAATATTGTAGTGTGCCAGTATTGGTTACTGTCTGAAGGATTTGGTTCTTGGTGTTGTACATCCTACCTTTTTTCCTTTGAAGAATGAACCTAGGGCATTGCACATGCTAGGCAAGTGCTCTCCTACTGAGCTATGCGTACAATCCCCAAGTGATACCATAATGAATATTTATTATATAATGTATGTTTATTGTTGCAAAAATCAGAAAATGGAAAAATAATGAAAAATAATAAAAATAAAAGAAATAAAAAGCATAGTCTGTCCATCCAGAAACTCTTAAGGTAAGTAGTTCCTCTTTTCCAAGGGGAATTTTTCCCTGTGAAGCAGGGATTGGCAAACTTTTTTGAGCCAAGGGGTAGGTAGCAAATAATTTAAGAGTGGCAGATTATATAACCTCGGTTGTAACTACATAACTGCCACTGTAGTGAGTGTGACTGCGTGGAAGCATAAGGCTTTATTATGGACACTGTAACTTGAATTTTATAATTTTCACATGTCATGAAAAGTTAGGCTAGTGAGATGGCACAGCTGTTAAAGGCACTTGCCACTAAGCCTGATGACCTGAGTTCAATCCCTAGGAGCCACATGGTGGGATGAGAAAACTGACTCCAACATGTTGTCCTTTGAGTGCCAAATGTATGTGCACATCCATGCATATAAATAAATAAATAAGTAAATAAATAAATGTATTTTTTATTTTACAAAATAGAAAAGTTAACTATTTAGGAAGAGGAAGCAGACTGGGAAAGTGGGAAGAGGAATATGAGAGGGTAATAAGGGGTTGGTCAATGCGACCAAAGTATATTATATCCAAATGGGAAAATGAAAATGTGACAATGAAATAAAGACATTTTTTGTACAAGTATTATACGTGAATAAAACTGAAAATTATTCTTAGCTCACATACCATGCAGAACCAGGTAATAGACCCTTAGTCTAAAGGAATATGTGAGAACTTTCTATAGACTTTATCAGAAACTTTCTTCTCACTAGTGAAAGTGTAGCTTTCTACTACACTGAGGAGCATGGACTCAAGGGAGCTACTGAATAGGGAGGATGTTTCAGGAGCCAGTATCATTGCCCAAGTGAGAAATGAAGGTGACCCAAATTAAGAGTGTCACAGTGGGAAATGTAGAAAAAGCTATGGACTTGAGAGGTGTATGTGGAGGAGAATTAGGAAAAGATGTTAAAAGGATATGGGAATGGAGATATTTTCCAAAATAAACAGAAAAGCCTAGGCAAGTGATGAAGGTCTGTGTAGGTTTGTTATGATATATAAAGGATGAGACAAAAATAATATACACATAATCTTAAAATTTCTATGGTCATAGTTTAGTCAACTAGTTTAAGGAACAAAATACAAACAAAATCTAGTCAAGGTTTACCTGAGAATATTTGATTTTTTACCTTAGAGGGACTTACAGGATAGTTTTTTCACCTTGCCCTCCAAGATCTACTAAGTTTCAGGGGACTATGGAACATCTCTCAAAATGTTCTGTAACTGTGGTGAGTCACCTCTCCTCTTGTTCAGGGAGGACATGGAGACCCCATGAGATGGGCCTTAACCAGTGTCCAGTCTACAAAGAGGAGGGTCAACTCAGAGGAAACATCTCCTCCATGCTTCCTAGTGAAGCCAGCCATGGTCCAGCAGGACCTTTGACTTATCTTCACATATATGGAACTGGTAAAAGAAAGGAGCCAGGAGCTACTCCCAAGCCCATGTGGCCCCTGAGAGACAGATCCTCAAATGACCTTAAGTATAAAAATAACTTGATTTATTTGGGCCATCTGTATGGTCTTAAACTCCCAAAAGGAAAATATAACGAAAGAGTACAGTCATCAGTATATTTCTTTAAGAGTTCAAGGGATTACACTTCCCAGACATTAGACTTACGTCTATATAAAAAGTTATTTAGACAACTATTTCTCATTGATGATTTTCTTCCTAACCAGAAAGTGCTGCTCAGATGTAAGACTTCAAATCTTGGTCTCCAATACTGTAGTGCCCACCTGTAGCTAAGGGAGACAATCAGCTATTGTTCTAAAATGATGGATAAATTTGTTTTCTCCCCCTATCTAGAAGCCTTTGAGAGGGAACTGACACTGATTCTAACCACTCCAACAGCTATCAAAATGCCTGAAAGCAAATCCTGAATCCATCACTCTAGAGTCCAGCCTTGGAAGACAAAAGAAAAATGAGGAGGAACCCCATAGAGGGATGCTTTTGGAAGCCCTTGTCAAGAAATTCCAATGGACTCGCATATGAACATTTGAACTTTGCCCTGTTCTGACTTTTTTTCTGGTTCCCTGTCTATAACTTGTAATGCTAATTACTCTTGCCTTTATTTCTCCTTGGCATCTCCTATTCACAATTCAAGGACTTTCTTTTCTCCTTATAAGAGTTATGCAATTTGGAAGTCTTTTAGATAGACCCACTGAAAGGGTACTCCAATTGCCTCACCCTGCATCCCTGTTCAGCATGGAAGAAGGCAGAGCAGTCTGCATCCCGATTCCCTATTTGCAATTTGGGTAACCCCTTCAGAGGATGGTGTGATAAGAATAGGAGGTAGGAATTGGCTAGGCAGTTAGGGTAAAAAGACCCCAAAGAAAAGTAGCCAGTTTCTTGGCTAAAACCCACAATGTCCTTGGGCCTCTTAGCAACATACTCTGTTCTAAAGGCCAAAAATGTCGAAAGTATTTGGTAGCTTGTATCTAACCCTTAAAAGATTTTAGGGTTAACTCTTCAGAGGGGGGAATGTTATCGAGTAGCCAAAAGCCCCATAAAAATAAATAAATACATCAAAGAAGAAAAAAAAAGAAAAAAAAAGAAAATCATGGAGGTGGATTGGTTATTTGAACTCAACAGAAATGAAAAAGATCTTTCCAGCAAAAATAGTATTTACCATATTGTCCTGAAGCAGTAATCTGAAAATCTCTGATGCTTCCAGAAGCCATTCCCAGAGGAATTTGACACTCTAAAATCAAACACAGTATCTAACAGTATCTAGAAATGACACAGAACTCATGAAAACAGTAAAATACAAACAAATGGTAATATTTTTAGATAAGCAGATTAGAATTGGTTCTCTTACTTGTTTAAGGTTATAAATCTACTCACAGTGAAATTTGTAAGCTATTTTTGGTAACTGAATAAAAATTAAGATCCAAAATCTACTATTGTGAAAAGGAAGACTTTGTTTGAGCACCATTTTGTTAAATACCAGAACTTCATGTTCAAAGTGTACAAGGCTCTCGCCTCCTCTGAGGACTCTTGATGGTTTCTATCAGAAATATTCACTTTAAATTTAATGATTATAGGAGCTTGAATTTATTTCTTGACGAAGACAATCACTTCAAGAAAGAGAAAAGCTGTGTAGAAGTAGACTGTGTAGGCAGTGAGCCTCTGCCCAGTTACTCACGCTTGCTGTACACAAGAAAAAGAGTGCTCATTCCAGCATGTAAGTGCTCTCCAATAAGGCATTCTACCCGCCAAATTCCAACTCTGGATGGTAGCATTTCCACTGTCTCAGAAACACCTTTCAAAGCCAAAAGGAACAAAAATTATTTTTCACTAAAAAATGAGCATGGAATATGTTGGCTTATGTGGAAGATGGGATATCAAAACATCTATCAACTTCAGTTCCAACATTCTTTGATCTATGAAGTGCAAAGCACTTCTTATCTGACATATTTGCTCTGAAAAATCATCTCAGATCTAGTGCACTAAGTAAAGTGATTCCAAATTCCAAATTGCTAGAAGGTCTGTGTGTGTGTGTGTGTGTGTGTGTGTGTGTGTGTGTCTGTGTGTGTGTTTTGGGGGTGCGTGTTCGTGCGTGCATGCGTGCGTGCGTGTGTGTGTGTGTGCTGGAGAGATGGCTCAGTTGTTAACAGCACCAGAACTCTTGTAGAGGACCAGAGTTTGGTTCCCAGCACCCACATCAAGCAGCTCATAGTCAGCTGTGGCTGTATCCAAGGAATCTGATACCCTCTTCTGGCCTCCATGGGCACCGCACTCACATGTGCATACCAACAGAGGCACACACAAATACACATAATTAAAAATAAAACAATAAATAGGCCTTAACATATATGATAAAATGCTTGAATTCTTGTGGGTAGCTTATGGGGGGTGCCGATAAAGAAGGGGAGACTAAATATGATTAAGATGTATTGTATGAAACCCACGAAAATTCAATAAAAATATATTTTAAAAAATGAATCTAAAAAAAAAAGAAAAAGAAAAGAAGCCAGGGATTGATGAGTGCTGAGGGGTTAAGAAATGAGTTATCCAGGATGGATAAAGGCTCTTCCAGATAGTAACCCAACATACTACTGGAA